ATTCTATTCTATTCTATTCTATTCTATTCTATTCTATTCTATTCTATTCTTGGGTTGTAGAATGTTGGCTTCTCAGAAGCAGGCGGAACTTTCAGTCGACTTCCTTTTTCAAGCCGAACATTTTTGAAAGTGACGCATAACAAATAGAAGATGGGTGAGCGGCCAGTCTCGTAGAGTTAAACTGTTTTTATGTATTTTTTTATAGTTAGTGTCGTCGTCCTGTAAACATTAATATACAGTAATGTGCCGTTCAGAAGAAACGAACTAACACTGACAGTTTTTTTTAGACACTCTTGAATGTGTCTCAGCTAACGGAGCGTTAGCTAGAATGCTAACATGATGCTGAACCCATCGGTTGGGTCACCAGACGACAGAAAATCCGTGTACCGTCAGTCACAACATAACTTTTACAAAAGCGGGGATAAAACCAGTCCTATAAGCGTCATATTGGTTAGTTCTGGCAGCCGAGGGAACAAACTTCTTTTTCGGTATCCCTTCCAAAGAGTCGATGAATGTCCGTCATCTCTCTCAGGTAGAACTACTCCGGAAATCATTTCCCAACACATCAGACATGTACTTACACATTTATATTCATCATAATATCATCCAGGAGGCTTGTAAGAGTTGGTCATTTCTAATTTGTTTTACAAATTTTGTTTACTTTGAGTTGAATGTGATGTGGTGATTGTTAGAGATTATCACGTGTGTTTATTGACGTAAGCTTCTAAAAAAAAATCATTTTTATGTTATTGATACCTTGAATAAGTAGAAAAAAATGTATTTGGGGTCGACTGTCCAGGAGAACAGGTATAATGGTAATGAGGTGGAAGAAGGGAGTTCAGGCAGGATGGGTTGGATGGAGAAAAGTTAATGGGGTTTGGGGCAAATGTGGCAGCAAAGGAAAGGAAAAGAAGAAGAAAAACAGGAATACGGCACTAGAAACTGTTTTCTTTGGTTCTTACATTTACTAAACAATACTTATTTCTGTCCTCAAGCAAAGCAACGAAATCCATATGCACTGAATGTCACTGGGGAAAGTCTCGAAGATCAAGATGGAGATTCAAGGTATATATTTTCAGAACTTAAAAAAGATTTACAAATATATACAAAACCAGTTTTGTTATACAGATTTTTGTTATTAGCCTTTTAGTTAATTTTACTTTGCTTTTGATTTTTTTGTCTTTTTAAAACGAGGCTTTGTATTAAAATATGTTAGTAAAACACAAAAATAAAATAAAACTATGCGTTTCATCGACATTTTCGAATATGCTTTAAGTAAACTATTTCATACAGTGCATTGTTAAAGCAACTTTAATATATTATATGTTGTGACTTGAAAAATACATCATGCATATGTTTTAGATCTGATGCTGGTTACTTTACAGATTGATTAGTAACAAAACAAACACGTATATAATGTATGTGTTATTTTAGCACCAGTTTTTWAAAAAATAGCCTATAGCACAATGCTGCATTTTTTTTCTTATAATGTGCTAAATTTGATATTTTGAAAAGTATAGAAAAGGMTGCAGTTGGTAAAAAGTCCATGCTGATTTTAAAAACTTAAACAAAATAAAGCATACATTTCTGTCTTGTTGAAATAAAGTTGTAAATGTCTGTGTCTAAAAAATAGAGGAGGACCAAACCAAGGCATATCTTAATGTCCTTATGAAGACCAACATAAAATGACATTTTATATAAACTTGTGTATTTTATTATAACTCTAAAGATGATCTTTTGGCTTACACTCACATAGAAAGCTTAGATAAAGAAGTGTGCAAWTATTATTTATACTTTGTGTTCTGCACACATGCACGATGACAGATCTTAGACATCTTTCATAGCGCATCATTGTCAGAGGTATTAGACAGGTGGACGTGACAGTAATGTACATGAATCAACATGCAAAGCAGCATTTTCACATCACAGTATCACATGTTTGTTTGGGTTACATTAATGTCCATATTATTCATTTAGCCCAACTCTGTATGTTGCATTTTTCCTTTTGTTTGCTTTTTTTTTTTCCTTCTTTTTTGTGGCCCAATCCCCATTTCAGGGAGCAATCTCCAGAAACTGATGAACAGTTGGTAGCAGGGTAAGACCAACTCATTCTGAAGCACCTTTCCTTTGCTTAGACCGCCCCTGTCTTTTTTTTTACCTCTTTTTTTCTGTTTTGTGCCCTGTATGGATCTCCCTGTTCTCAGTCAAACCCCTGTAAATAATCCACAGAGGATGAATCCATGCTTGCACTAAAATCATCAGTTTCAAACCAGTTTTAATCTACAGATTTTTTTTTCCAGCATGTAGATTCTGTAATAAAGGACAAAATGCCAAATACAAGCTGCAGTTCAGCCAATACTGCTCTTTTTTAATTGTGGTGGTGGAGTAAGTCCATAATCTGTTTAATTTTTTTCTGGAAGTTAACATTTTAATTTTATACTTCTTTGATTGCAGCATGAGTTTACTTCAGTCAAACCAGCATGAAGTTTTCCACATTCCTCATTCGTAAACTGTTCAAATCTCACTTTTTCTACAAGGAAGCTTTTTCCTTCTCTTTCTCCAGTAGCCACACTGTTATTTACATTTTTTTTAATATTTAATTAAATTGTAAAAATTCATTACAGTCACCTACATCTAATTAATGTAACCTCTTTTATAAACATGAATGCAAAAACTGGAAGCAAACATATAATTTAAACTTTCTCTCTTGCCTCAGCATTTCCTGTTGTGTCTCTTTTGCCAGTCTGCACAGTTTCTTGCTGAGTTGTTATTATTATTATTATTTTCTTTTTTCTTTTTGAGGTTTTCTGACATCATCCTGGCCACCATTCTGGCCACCAAGTCCGATATGTGTGGAAAGAAGTTTGAATTGAAGATTGACAATGTTCGGTTTGTGGGGCACCCTACCCTCCTTCAGCACTCTTCTATCATCCAGGTAAAATTATTATTATTATTATTATTATTATTATTATT